CTCCGACTTTTATTTTTTTTATGTAGTTTAGGAATGAACTCTAAAGGGAAAGGGTCCAGTCAGGGTTGCTTTGAGCTGCCTTGGTGCATTAATTATTAGCACATTGTTTTTAATATACAAAATGTGCTATTGTTTACGTTTTGTCCACGCCTCTGTTCGTCCGGACCTACTTCAGCTCAGGTTGAAGTTCTTGGCCAATTTGCCATAAATCCCTCAATGTCAACATTTACTTTTTTTGTTAATTATTAAATTTGTGTGTAATTGTCTTAATGAATATTGACTTTATTGGTACCACTGGAAAGCATTTTCAGTAGTTTTCCAACGATGTGTGTTGGGGGGTTAAAGGGAGTTGGGGGGTGGGGGTTGTCACTCATAACGTTATTCTGGTTGCCCCTCGATCCCTCCGAAACCGTTTTGCGCGATTTTCAATATCTTCTTCAGTTTGTAAAATATGGCCGACTGCAAGTTTTAAAATTGACACCCCGTATTATTAAATAAACTCGATTCGCTAAACCCTCCATCTGTCCAAATCTGCAATTATTGCCGCCCAGGTACATTAGATACTTTTGAAATTTGAGTGGATGTGCGATAGAACATAGAAGTTATGTGTTTTAAATAGAGTAATTAAGTGAGGTACACCTCAAGCAAATAATCGTTCAGATTACAGGTTTGTTCGTCCGCCCTTATTAAGTGATATCGTTACAAATAATATACAGTGAGTTTTTTTTTAATGCGAACATAGGAGTTTGCATGCAATGTAATTTCCCTATGTTCGATTTAAAAAAAAAAACACATCAATCTATGAGGTGTTCGCGGTTCACATTCCCAAATCGCCCAACTTGTGTGACTATGAACAGCAACTCATAGTCTTTATGAAGAGCACTCGGTAAGATTTTTTTAAAGAAGCCATGTGAGGCCATAGCAACTTTAGGATACATTTTTCTTAAACTTACGATAACTTGACCTCACAGGCCACGCACTGACACCACAACTCATTGTGAACCAACCTTCAATTATTTGTAGGTCATGTGTACCTGGTATTCTACTAATTTGATCTATTCAATACATAAATGAAGAAAATAAGAAAATAAATACCGAAAACAATTACAATCAATGTTCGAAGTGTTCTCCTTGACATTCTAAGCAATAACCCTCGCAATAACCTAACGCTAACCGATTTCGTATTTAAATTGGACGGCGGTATTTTTAAAAATGTGACAACTGTCAATTGTACCTACTACTCATTTGAACTACTCAATAGATTGATGTCTTTTTTTTTCAATCGAACATAGGGAAATTACATTGCATGCAACTCCTATGTTAGCATTTGAAAAAAATTCACTGTACCTTAAAAACGTGAATAAGATGATTGCAGTGGTAATCTACAATAGGATCAAATAGGTGATGAAAATCGAAAGTGCAGCGAAGTGTTACAATGTTTTCTATCGCGCCTTTTCAAACTGGCACTTCCTAAATAAGTAGCTTGCAGTACTCCATTTTATATTTTTTTAATTTTTTGTAAATTACTGTAGTTGAATTTTGTACAGTTAAAAACGAGATATTCGTACATGAAGGCCAATTATAAAAATGGAATTACCATCGGGTACCTACTTTTTAAACTTTGGTTATAACGTCAAATATTAGCCCTGAGCCTTGCTTATTATTACCTACCTAATCTGTGGAAGTGTAATTAAATTATCATCTACTCCGTAATTGTGTGGTTGTTTACTAGTTTAGGTGTGAATTATCATTGTGATGTATACTCACATTAACAGTGAAATGGTATCAGCATTAGATGTGGCATACGCCGTCATTTACAAACAACGAACAAAGGCGCCACTTGAACATTATTAGGGTTAGTAGATAATAATCGGCGATCAATTAATATTTTTATTTATTGATTCGAGAGCCTGCCTTAGAATTAGTTTTTCCCATATCGTTTCTAACGCACACGTAAATACACAACACTGGCAGTCGTTTAGAACTACTTAATTGTAAGTGGTTTATTTAAATGTTCATGAAAAATCCCTTACCAAAATTAAAACACAACTGCGACACTCGTATAAGCAATTGGGGATATTAAAATTTTATTAGCTATGTCTTCATAGTCATTACAAATGCTGATCACTCTCTCCGAATCCCAGAATTGTTTGAGTTTTCAAGGATTTTTCCATAATATTAAATTACTCGACGGCAAATTAGTTCTAAAATAGCCTATATGTTAAAAAAAAGCATATAGGTATGCATCTAATGTTCATATCACTGTTAAATGATTGATAGTATAGTCATTATTATTTTCCATCATTCATTGAAATCCGAGTTCAAATCACTGTATTCAAACACACTTATTCACAATACATGTATACAGTAATCGTTTACCTATAATTTGTTGAGAAACATTATCTAACCTAACCAGTAACCTGAATTTTGAGGTTGTTGTAGGCTTAATTTTGTTGTAAAATTACAATAAACGAGACACATAACTTATTCCTGATTTTTAATTCTGAAACAATTGTTAATTAATGCATTACTTATGTTAATTAAAATGTATAATGCAAACGCACATGTGTTAAAAGACTTTTTATTCAAAATGTGATTACCTCTCGCAATACATGTTTCATGGAAAAAAGTTATTGTATATTATATCTTGATAAAGTAGAGAACGTTTCAAAACTAAAAGATAATGACGCGGAAACCAATTTCGAAAAGAATGCAAATATAAAAATGTTGGAATTTTATGTTTTGATGTGTTCATAACTTTCCTCACATCATGTTTAGGGTGGAGGTTTTTATTTGGAATTCTTTTCACACAAGAGGGAAGTTCCGAATTTGCTCGACGCGCATCTTATCTTTTAGTCTTGGAGAGATCTCTGATACTGGCCGGTTTTTAATAATTTACAACCACTCATCCAAATCCAATCACACAACATGGATGAAACTTCGATTTAGTAAACTCAACGCATCAAAAGCCCAAAAACTATATACGGTTATAAATATTGTTAAGATTTTCAAAGAGAACAAGGACAATACTGATGTGCTATTCTAAATTATTTAAACAAAATAAGTTACTATTAAGCTGTAATCTTCAAGTGTTTTTTTTTTAATTTGCGTTGAATGAAGTTCTCTATGTTTGTTTTTTTATTTATTATTTTATTTTTACTTAACCCTCTTTACATAATCAGCCACTGAGCAGTGGTTGATTCGATTGGTAAAAAAAATCAATTGAATGGTTGGACTATATGAAGTCAGAATTTTTCATTTACTACATGTACCAAAGAATACACACCACTTTGTGAAATGCCGAATTTAACTCAATTAAGGGTTAGTTTGATTTTAGTGTGGGAATTACATCTGTGTATGATTTTTGCTCGTAGTATGAATATTGGTTTGCATTGTTTGAATTACAGAATTGGCACGATTCGTGTCTCTTGTAGAAGGTAATATGGCAAAAAACTGTAATTTGTGGTTGAAATTTGTTGCTGCTGAAACTCGTCCATATTATACACGGTGCTCTCGATATAATGTAATAAGTCTTCTTCTCCAAATTCAGCTACACAGATGACCCAAAATTAAATTTCCATGCCATGCAGATAGCATGCGGTCCACCCGCTCCTACCGAGTTTCCGCTAAAGTACACCCCTTATATAATCATCAACACAAACAAGGACAATATCGGAACAGTTGTTACCTACTATGGGAAATTTTGAAACTGGCGTTAGATTTTCATTTATTCCAAGTGCCTATGTATCAAATTTCATTCAAATACTTTTACAAATAAAAAAGTTCGGTTTATAAATGGTCGAGATGCGCAAAGGGCACTGTGAATTTTGAATCGATTCGACTTGGCATTGCGTATTATATGGCTAAAGCTATGCCCATATTGAATTTCATGCAAAAGCGATGAGACATTTCTAAACAAAATTATCTTTCACACAGACAAATAGAGGGACAGACAGACAAAGGAACAGACGGACAGACTAACAGACAGACGACAGACAGCAATATAAAATTATAAACGATCTCTTGGATGGTTAATAAACGGCAAAACTGTTATGGGATATGTAAAAACGGTTTGTTGGTTTTTTTATAATAACGTTTTTAGCAATAAACGCAGAAAAAATTCCTTCCTTGGTGCAAGACTCGATACCATAACGAACCAAACAGCGAAAAAAGTAGAACAATAGCTCTTAAGACAACTAGTAGCGTCTCAACGAACGAGCGAACGGGCGGACGGACGGACAAAGTGGCTACAATAGCGAATGTTTTTTAATTTTTGTGGAAATGCGCTAAAAACTGAGATGTACAGACATTCAGGGTTAGTCTGTGCATTATTTTGAGGATTCTTATTGATTCAAACAAATAGTGTGTCTACTCTCGAAACTTCAACAAATAAACCTTGTTTCCGTAACACTTAAAATTTCAGAACTCGATTAGCACGTTCCACAAAATTAAATCAAATTTCAACATGCACCAAATATGATTAATTTACTATAAACATCTTAAGGGACGTGCAAGTGTTGTGTTATTGTTTATCCAACATCTTCTGTAACGTAGGTATTAATCAGCTTTGGCAGATACGAAAACCCAAACTCCTTCAAACTTTCCTATTTAGACCGTACCGTTTCATTGAGTGATCGCATTTCCATGACATAGCAAACTTTCCTAATCTATTTATTTATACAATAAATTCAATAAAGTTTCACCGCGAGTGAAAATATATTATAGCGTGGAAAGTGTCTAAAAGATTTAGATTATCGTTTTAATATAATGGGTTTTATGGAGGCAATTACCTACTTAGCCGTATAAAGTGTACAAGCTAGGCTAGGTAAAATAAGTTGAAGATTAATTATTATTATCATAAAGTTTAATTCTTTCTGTACGCTTTGGTATCAACACGAACGTACATACATACATGTTGATACTTCTTTTACAAACAGTTATAATTAGAGTGTTCGAGCTACCTTGATCTATAAAGATTGATTTATTCCTTGAGTACCTACCTATTTCAAATATTTCAATATGTGGATATTGCAAAATGAGTCTCATACCTCGACACCACACGAGTTCAAAACATTGGCCGGTAACCTGTAATCCCACAGCCAGACGAGCTTGTCGTTATCCAGCAGTGTTGTGACATAACGGCTACCGAAAGTCTCACTACATCTATACTGTGAAACGCTTCTACGATACGTGAATAATATTAGCGTTGAGGGAAAATGTTTTCGTTATTCGATGATAATATGCAATCACGCTTCAGCTCTTCTATTCGTATGTTATCTCTTATAATATGTGACACACAACACTACCTACATCTACATTGTATTAACACTACACGAATTTTGTGTCAATTTGTCTTCGTCCACCTCACTAAAGATACTGGTTTCTACTTCGTTTCCTTTTTAAATATAAAAGAGCCGATGACATTTCAAGCTGTATAGATCAAAAGTTGTTTGAATAGCTAATTAATTAACGTTTCCTTGATGTACAACCTATACTCTATAGCTATAACTACCGCGTTACAATGTCGTGAAGTTTGGATACGACTAATTATCCCTGAATTTAGCTTTACGTTGCGATAAAAAACCCTTATCGCAATGACCGGATTCTCACCTGCAAATATTAAACACCGTTTTAGATAAATTAATTGTTGCTGGATTAACTTTGACTATTCAATTCATCTAACATTTGTCACATTTCAACCAGTGAAATGTCTCGATTTCAAATTGCTGCGCCAATGGGAACGAATTATAGTGATAATTGCACGTGTGGTATTTCAGCGATTATTTTTTGACGTTTCTCGAAACCAATAGAAATGTTCAATTTCAGTCATTCATATACGTTCTAGCCAATCACAACATTATTATAGTGACAATTCAACTCATGTATAAAAAATCGCATAAGCCGCAGTGAAATTGTCACTTTGACAGCGGCAAAAGTTACCTGCAACTTTTCCAGCGACAAATGCACTAGTGGTTTTTTCACTTATTCATTTTCGAACCAATAATCGCATTATCCTTACCCATATGACTAGTTTGACGTCTGTCAATAATTGATTAGTTTGGTGAATTTCTTGTTCGTTAAATTGTCCTGCCGAATTACACTCGAGGTTTGTATTTAAACCGAGTAAATTTGGGTTGTGGCAATTCAAATCTGTTTCCTTTTAGCAATTGAACTCGAAAAACTTAGTTGACAGTTTTTCTCGCCTAATTGCAACAGATTTTCATTACTTTAACAACCCAAATTTACTCATATATAATACCATAAGTAGTCGAAGTATTGTCGAATATTTTTGAGGTGCTGTCACGAATGCTAGTTGCGCTGATTAGTATTAAGAAGCGTAACTAGCATGAGTGGAGCAGCAGCTCAAAAATAATCTACAAATACTTCGACTACGAATGGTATTCGGAGGACTATTCAATGAATCAAAAGAAAAATTAAGCATAATTACCCACGCGAATGTATTTTCATGACAACAATAAACATCAAAATAAATTATGAAAGTTGCTTTTCATTTTTTTAATTTTATTTTATTTTTTTTTATTTTATTATCCCTCTCTTGCCCTCAACAGGCAGACGCCCAATTACAGAGTGACCCGCATAATGCTATTTAGAGGTGCCTCTGCAGAAGGTCTTAAGATGGTCTATACTACTCCGGTATTTACTTTACGAATTAGGAAAACTGCAGGAAAACCTAATTCGGAGTAGCCGGTACAATGCTCGGAACTGGCCTAAGGTAATTTCCATCTCCGCAATTTTTGCTATTGATTCTATTCGAACTTTTGTGCTCCAAGCTAATTCGTTATGAGTGATTAAATTAAAAGATGTGGTGATAAGTCGGTTGTCGAAATTGATTAACAAACTAAGAAGAATGTTGCGATTAATACGACAAAATTTCGCGTCATTTCACTGGTGGAAGTTTGACAAATGTCATTGAATAATCGCATTGAATTGTCGCTGAAATACCACACGTGAAATTATCACTTATAATTGCACAAGAGGTTTGTATTTCATCGAGTAAATTTGGGTTGTTTAGGTAATGAAAATCTGTTGCCTAGCAATTAGACGAGAAAAACTGTCAACTAATAACTAATTTAGGTTGACAGTTTTTCGAGTTCAATTGCTAAAAGGAAACAGATTTGAGTTGCAACAACCCAAATTTACTCGGTTTAAATACAAACCTCGAGTGTAATTCGGCAGGACAATTTAACGAACAAGAAATTCACCAAACTAGTCAATTATTGACAGACGTCAAGCTAATCATATGGGAAAGGATAATGCGATAATTGTTCCAAAATGAATAAGTGAAAAAACCATTTGTCGCTGGAAAAGTTGCAGGTAACTTTTGCCGCTGTCAAAGTGACAATTACACTGCGGCTTATGCGATTTTTTATACATGAGTTGAATTGTCATATATAATACCATAAGTAGTCGAAGTATTGTCGAATATTTTTGAGGTGCTGTCACGAATGCTAGTTACGCTGATTAATACCACGAGCGCTTGCGCGAGTGGTATTAAAAAGCGTAACTAGCATGAGTGGAGCAGCAGCTCAAAAATAATCTACAAATACTTAGACTACGAATGGTATTCGGAGGACTATTCAATGAATCCAAAGAAAAATTAAGCATAATTACCCACGGGAATGTATTTCCATGACAACAATAAACGTCAAAATAAATTACGGAAGTTGCTTTTCATTTTGCTATTGATTCTATTCGAACTTTTGTGCTCCAAGCTAATTCGGGATGAGTGATTAAATTAAAAGATGTGGTGATAAGTCGGTTGTCGAAATTGATTAACAAACTAAGAAGAATGTTCCGGTTAATACGACAAAATTTCGCGACATTTCAGTGGTGGAAGTTTGACAAATGTCATTGAATAATCGCATTGAATTGTCGCTGAAATACCACACGTGAAATTATCGCTGAAATACCACACGTGAAATTGTCACTATAATTCGTTCCCATTGGCTCAACAATTTGAAATCTCGACATTTCACTGATCGAAATGTGACAAATGTTAGATGAATTGAATAGTCGCTGTAATTGAGCGATAATTGCACACCTCATATGGCATTTATGACATATGAGGGAAATATTCACTTATAATTGCACAAGAGGTTTGTATTTTACCGAGTAAATTTGGGTTGTTTAGGTAATGAAAATCTGTTGCCTAGCAATTAGACGAGAAAAACTGTCAACTAATAAAAATGCGACACCGCAGGTGGAGCATTTTTAGGTTGACAGTTTTTCGAGTTCAATTGCTAAAAGAGAAGCGTGACCCCAAAGGCTCATTGGATTTTACCCTTATTACATGTGGCATATAGCTCAACTGTGCAAAGTTTGAACTAAATTGGTCCAAGCGTTTGATAGTTATCGTGTTCACGGACAGACGGAAAGACGGACACCATCGACTCCCCTATAAAGCTTACATCGCTTTGCTCTGCTGCTTAATAAATATAACATATAGGTAATCAGACAAAAGACAACCCTATACTGCTCCTGGTTTACAATTCGGATATCCGACTCCCGACTAGCAATGGTCGTGGGAAAACGTAGGGATACCAGAGCGCCAAAAGCGTTAAGAGGTCCCTTTAAAACACATACCCCGCAAGATGGCACCATAATTCCAAAATAAGGTATATTTATTGGACACATAACTCCCGAATTACATCACAATCACAATGACAATCATGCAAATATGAGGATACATTCTGATTCTACTAGTCAAGGAGTCTGTAATAAGCTTTTTTGGGGTCACAATTTTCATTATTAACGAGCTTCTAGCGAGTTTATAATTGTGCGGTGTCTGTCCGTCTGTCCGTCCGTTAGCACGATATATCGATAACGAACGGACCGATTAAGATCAAATTTTGTAGATGGATTTTTTATCAAATTTGTAGATTGGAGTTCATGAATTGGCAATGTAGGCCAAAAAATAAGGAAGGCCCTTCTGACATCTCCGTGAGTTATGAACCCAATTGCATGAAATTCTATATGCGTATAGATTCAGCCATATAAAACGCAATTCCAAAAATTGAGCCTAATCGATCAACATTCACAGTGCCCTTTTTTTTCGCACCTCGACCATTTACCAACCGAATTGTAAACTTTTTTATTTATGAAGGTATTTAAATGAAATTTGATACATCGGCCCTTGGAATAAAACCAAATTTAACGCCAGTTTCAAAATTTCGTTTTGCGCATGCGCAGTCCCAACTTTCTTATTTATAGAGGGTTTTAAATGAAATTTGATACATAGCCACTTGGAATAAGAGCAACTGTAGCGCCATTTTCCAAATTTGGTTTTGTGTAGGATGTGCAGTGCCTACTTTCCTAGTTATGCAAGCAATTAAATGAAATTTCATACATATACACTTTAAATAAAAGCAAAACTTCAGGTTTAAAATTTGGTTTTGCACATGCTATTATAGTAGTTGGATAGATGATTCGGTCTACCAGCCATCAACGAGCCCTGGAAGGCTTGTGCTCAGGTGAGTTGTGAATCAATGTTTTCGCTTCAAGGCTCATTTGCAAGACTACTCTTGCAAAACGAAACATTGTGACCCACATGGCCCAGATGCACTCGATATTGGACACAGCCCACAAACGTGAAAACTGATGATCATTTTGGAACCGATTCGTTCTGACTTGGACCTCGTTGCAGCTGATGCGCAAGACAATCATTTTTGTCATAGGAAATTATTTCTCCATGCCTTCATAGTAGTCAGAGTCAGAGTAGTCAGAGAAAAGCTATAGGCCGTATCCCACAGTGGAGACGGCGCGGCGATGGAAGATATTTATTCATTCCTTGAAAATGCTGAAGAACGTCAATTTTCAATCGATGAATTAAAGAATTACAACAAAAGGTTGATATCAGATCGATTCAAGAACAATTAAATCCCGAATACTGGAGAAGTTCGGGGAAGAAACGACGAGACGATCTGTTTAAAAATACAGGATCTAAAATACTCGCTGATAACTGGTACCTACAGCACAATGAAATCCCAAGATCGCGAAGGTGGGAGGCTGAGAGTAGTGAAAACCGCAGCAGATACAATTTTAGAAGACATTTCAGGTGTAAAACTATCGCTGAATACCTCCCGAGTGACAAATTTTTGAATGATGTTGATACAGTAACTCCACAAAGTTTTCTCGCTTTCTTGCCAACCGTTATAACAAAAAATGCGGTTTTTTAATTTTTAATTGTAAGTAGCGCATTAAGCTTCGAGGAAGTTTATAATATTCCGAGGCGACAGCCGAACCCCAAGGTACAAGGCAGGCGAAAATGAGTACAACACATCATAAGTGAAATAATTA